GGTCCCGATGTATACTTGCCCGCAACTGCATGGTATGCGGTATACTCCTGCGGCGGTGAGGGGATCCCTTTTGTCTTTTGCTGGTTTTAGCACAAGTGCTGGCGAAACGTTAGGAAACAAAACTTCCAGAACACGGCCACAGCCCGGAAGACCCACACCAGCCATCGTATGCCGGCCCTGAAAGCCTTCGACAATACAGTTTAATTTTGGTTTATCAGTGGAAAGTGCTTCTAATGTCTAAAACATTTCAGGTTTATCAAGGTTTTATTTTACATACATGGACTATGTATGTAAGAAGTTTGGAGAAAAGATTTCCTTTTGACAATTATCACAGATTGCAGATTGTGGTTATATAAGCCATATTGTACTGTAGTCTGGACCAATATTCCAATGCCAGCTAAATTTGCAGTGATTTGTGAGTTCTGTAATGCAGATCTGACCTACTGGGGGGAGGTTGTAGCAGAGATTTTTCTTGATATTTGACATCATGTCTTGACTTCAACAATTCCATGTAATTTCCATTTTTTAATGCTTCTCACAGCTGCAAATGTTACCTGGAAAAGTTACAGATTTTTAAAAATAATATTCCCCTGCTTTGTAAGAGTGCATTATCTTTACTTTCAAATGCTAAGGCACAGAGCTGCCCATGGTTGCTGAAAGTAGAAAGATCAATACAACCCGAGAGCCTATTTTTTTCACTTATGGAATTGTCTTGCCTGGGTAATTTAAATCTAATGAGTCAATCACATTCCAAGGGCTTATTAACTTTACTCTTAAGGAAAAAAAAAAAAAAGATTAAATCAGCTGGCCAAACTTCTGTGCCTGCTATTGTTTTCTTATTTTAAATTCATACACAATTGCATGTAAATTGTAAGTATGAATTCAGATTTGCTGCATGAAATGTTTAACTTGTAGTATGGAGAGATTGTATCAACTCCTGTTTACTTAGGGTTTCAGTGAAGGGTATGATTTGCTTATACTCATGCATGCAATTGTATATCAGAGCTTGTCACATCATCTTTACTTGGTTCGACACCATGCTATGGAATGGGGCCAAGGAAGGTGGTCACTTTTCCTTTTGTACCAATCCTTTTCTTACACTCTAAATTCTTTAATACTTAATGCGTTTCTTGGCATCAGGCCCCAGCTGTAGCTCCTGGGATGCCAGAAAAAAAAATTGTAGATCCTGCAAGCCCCAGATCTGCCCACCTCAGTGTAGACAAATCTGAGCTGAATGAATGGGCATTTTGTATAAATTAAAAGCGACTTTTAATCTCTATAAAATTAAAGCTAGTCATGTGTTTGCCTTGGAAGGAACTATGAAGTAGCAACAACTAAGTCAGTAATAGATACATTTAAATGGAGTCTGAAAGCATTAAGTCAAAATCAATTCACTGAAGCCCACATCAAGGGAGAAAGCACTTTGGGACTACCTTGTATGACTGTTCAGACATGTTTTATGAGCTTGTTACAGCCTGCAATGTGGGAAGTTTGCCAGGGGGAGGGGTAAGGTGTGGTGCTGAGAACCCTAAAGAGACCATTTCATTAGGTGTACTTTTTATTATATGACAAGCCTGTTGATGATTTAAAAACTTAAAAAGAGAAGCTGTATTTTTATCAGGCCACTGCTCTGCCTGGCAGGGGTTCTTGGCATTTCAGGCAGGAGTTTTAATAACTCTTTGGAGATGCTAAGAATGAACCTGGGACTTTCTATATGCAAAGTGTACCTTATATGTTCCCTCTACTCTCAAACCTGCACACATGGTACAAAAAATCAAGTGCACACAAAATTAAATTACCTCAAAATAATAATACATTTAGGCATCATAAAACTCCAGGCTTGCAAGTTGCAACTTGTGAGGAGTCCTGCACATGCCACCATCTCGGCTTAAGTCAAGCAGTGCAGGTCACTCAGTGCTGCTGTGGGACAGACTTGAGCAGGAGCTCCTGGGGAAGGTACCTTTTGCCCAGGGCTGCAGGCAGCCATCCTGCTCTGGATCATGCCCAGCTGGAGACACAACTGGTGTGGCCTCAGAGCCTCCTGTGCACAAAGGAGCGTCC